TTCTTCTTTTATTGCTCTTTGTTCGTTTACTTCTTCTTTTCTCTTTTTTCCTGTAAAAAAATTGTGCTCACGCCTTGCAACATTAGAAATAAATAAAAGACTTTTGGAACAAATTCATTACTTAAAAAAATAATATTTTAAGATTTTTTTTAATCTGTTTGTATGCCTTAACAAAGCGATTGTCCATGTAAAAATATTGTTGGATTTATCTTCATAGGTTGGATCATTCAATTAAAGTAACCTTTTGGAGAGTTATATGGCATATAAGTATTTTATTATCTAGTTGATTAATATCTAGAATGTAAGGAATGTGCATAAAAATTTCTTTCAATATGCATTAAAGGCTAAAAATCAAAATTTATCATTTTTCTGCTACTTTTAAAAATTAGAAAAAAAAGCAACTTAATTTTGGAAAAAAATCACATTTATGAGTTTCTTTTAAGTCAAAATTTACCATTTTTTTGCCATTATTTAAAATTCCGGTATCAGGGAGCTAGACAAAAAAATATTGCTTTCAATTACATTCAATAATTTTAAACAAACAAACTTTATTAAACGAAACCAAAAATAGATAAATTAAAATATAAATAAATAAATAAACATCAGGAGCATATATCCTGTTCAGGTGATCAAGAATAGAAATAATGAATAATTTTATTGGGAGTACAAATTAGTTTGGTCCGTTTTTAAGAGATGCTATGAATGTTTCATAACATCTCTGCTGTTATGAATGTTTCATAGTGACATCTGGTTTCGGTGGTTTCAGAGAGGTTAAACATCTGTCAATAATATTCAGTTTATATCGCTTTGAGTTTCATACAAAAGCCCTGCTTTTTACTTTGTTGAATATGTCAAATTTTGTGGTAACTAAGCACCATTTGCGGGAGGTTTTATGTTTCTGCTTTAATTGGAAGAAAAGTGCAGCTGAAGCGCATAAAATTCTTGTAGAAGTTTATGGTGACAATGCTCCAACTGATAAACCATGTAGGGAATGGTTCTGACGTTTCAAGAATGATGAATGAAGAATGGTGAATAGTTTTGATTGCTATGAGCTGCTACAACTTGGTGATTCCATTACGGGCGATTGGTATAGGCTACAATTGATTTGTTTGAGCCGTGCATCACGAGAAAAACGACCGGAATACGAGCAAAGACATGACAAAGTTATTCTTCTGCATAATAACGGTCGGCCTGATGTCGCAAAAAGCCGTAAAAAACTATTTTGAAACGCTCAAGTGGGATATTTTACAGCTCCCGCTGTATTCGCTGGACATTGCTCCTTCTGTTTACTGGTTGTTTCGACAGATGCAGCACGATTTGGCAGGTCACCAGTTCACTTCTTTTGCAGAAATCGAAAATTGGCTCCTAACTTGGATCGCCTCAAAAGACGAGACATTTTTTCGACATGGAATTCGAAAATTGCCTGAGAGGTGGGAAAAAGTAGTAGTCAGCGATGGACAATACTTTGATTAATCTGATCATTCATTTTGTTCTGAAATAAAAGCATTTTTGATCACGAAAAAACGGACCGAACTAATTTGTACACTCAATATAAAAGTAAATAAAAAACATTGAGAAAATTGAGAAACATTGAATATTTATGCGCATATTACACACGCATATTGAAACGTGAATAGATACTTATATATATTTGAAAACTAAATAAATATGCACGCAACCTATATATACTTATATGTATGCGATGATTATATGCATATGGTATAAATAAAGTAATAATTATAAGAAGTGTAAAATATTTAGCATTTAAATAGTAATAATAGAAACACATTTATCTGTTTGGCAGACAACTGGGTAAAAAAAGAAAAAATATTTTTTGCTTTTCTAAAGATTGAAAAAATGATCAATATCGTCCATATTAATTATAAATTCATACAATGTATGTCAAAATTTAGAATATACTTTTAGAGACCGCAATGAAATAGGTAACATCTTAAATAGTTAAGGACATGGACGTCGCAACCGGGAGGTTCCGAGGAGACCCCCTCAATGTTTGGGGAGCAAGAATCCTACTTTCTGAGAAAAAAATTATTTCTGTTTTATTATCCATAAAAAATAATTTGTGTTTTTTACATAAAAAAAATATTATAAAAAAAATTTATTTGATAAAAAAGTAAAAAAATTATAAAAATTAAATACACGTCGAAAAAAAAATTGTATCGAAAATAACTAAATAAACTTTAACAAAAGTAATAAAATTGTGAATGCCACTCAAATGAGTAACAAATGGATTCATCAAAATGGGAACCGTAATATACAATAAATAGTTTTGTCAAGAGATCAGAAAAAATCTATTATTATTAATTTTATTTTTTGCGTATTTTCCCACATCTTGAAGTGAATCGAACATTTTTTGCAAACAATTATTAAATTCTTTTATGCAAAAATGTACGCATACAAAATAATTTTTAATAATTTGTTGCATTTTATTGTTTATTTCATAATAGTCGAAAAATTTAGAATTGTAAGGCATAAATTTTTTTGCATAGTCTTAAAATAGTAATGGTAAGTTATAAAATACAAAATTTTAATGGAATCGGTCGAATAGTTTGCAAGAATAGAAATTTTAAATATAAGACTTTCAAAAGTACAACGCATTGGTCTATGACTTCATAATGAATAATCTTGTCATGTAAGGGGAAGAATAATCTTGTCATCAGCTCACACGGTTATACCCGAAAAAATGTACTTTCTAATATTGTATTAATGTAGCAAAAGCAAAATATATCAATACAATAGTGTGAGCAACACCAAAAAGTTTGAACTCATATAAAATATAAGGTTATCATTTTATGGTGTTAACAAGTAAAATTACTTCTCATTTATTACTCCTAATAATTAGACCAAATTATTAGACGCACTGTAGTGTTTTAATAATTACATGTTTTGCACGTGTTTATACGCAACACATTTATATTTAAATATACATGTAATGGGTTTTTATTCGGGAGATTTTTTACGTACTTTCTATTTGTATTTATTTTTAACGAATTGTATTACAATGTTAACCAACTGATACATGAAAGTAAACAAGTGCAAACCGGTTTCAGTCGCGTAAAAACAATTAAGCTGTATAGTTTCATCTGATAATTAAGATTTTAAGTAGAATTTCATTGTGCGTCTAATAATTTGGCCAGGGACTGTATATATATATATTTCAAATACAGTATTTTTTAAATCCAAGTAATAGCTCCTTATGTTGGGATTAACATATTAACAAAACGTTAATACATAAAATTATGGTAATTATATATTTTATAAACATAATGATCTTTTTTTTAAAGTATCGAATTTTAAAGAAAAATACGAAGATAAATAAGAGACCATCACGAAGATTGGTGAGCAGGATTCGGATTCTCCTTGTATTTAAAAATGTATAAAAAAAATCATAAGATTCTGTGCTATATTAAATTTATAGAATTTAAATAAAGCATGATTTTTATTAATTTTTCATGTTATAAAGATTAAAATGGTATTAAAAATTTTAATTTTGGTCTGATTTTGTTGGTTAATTTATTGATATTGCTTGTAAAAATTTCTACTGCGTGCACGTAAAACTATTTTTCAGAAATAAAGAAAAGAAAAATATTTTTCCACGATTTTTTGAAATATTGTAAATATTTTTTCTGGGTGCCTTCCTGAGAAAATTTCTGCAGATGCTTGTTAACTTTGCAAACATAAATTTCGAAATCTGTGAACTTTAAAAAAATTATGATTGTCATTAAAAACTGTAATTTCTCAATTTAGACTTTATTAATTATTTAACGACCCGCAAGTTACATAAATTACGATTGGAGACATCCCTTTTGGGGGAAATTACGGATTTTAACAATAATTTTATGCACAGTGAGCAAAAAAAAAAAAAAAAAACACGTTGAATTACTTTTGATGTAGTGATCAGATCTTTCCGTTCTAAAAGTTTATCTTAACGGCAACCTTAAATATGCTAATTATTTCAAGATAAATCTACATAATCAGACATAAAAATGTAATTCTCTGAATGCCTTGTTTTTGACGGATTTAGATTTCTGACCCTTAAAATGTTCGCAATCTGGGAAATATTGTCTTAATACTTTAGTCAGGATAGCGATCATTAGTGTTGGACCCCTTAATGTTAATTTTACTTCTTACATATTTCGCCATATCTTGGATAAATGTTTAAGCGAATGAAAAAGTTTTGCACAGGATTAAAAAATTCTTTTATTCAAAGATAATCACACGAAAAAATAAAGAAATAATTTTTAATAATTATTTATTATTTTTATTATTTAATTTAAAGTTTTAAGGTAATACATGCATCATTTTAAGGAATATAGTTTTAAAATACAAATTTGAAAAAGATCATATTTTGAGTCAAAGAAGTTATCAAATACTTTTCAATCCGTTTATCTTTTTTAATTACTGCATAGAATTAAGATAAATTTTAATTTTTAGCATTTTTTATTTTTATATCGCATTTTGGTAATGAATCAAATAAATAATAAGACATGACTGTCCAAAAGGTTACTCACAAATTTTTATTGTTTTTAAAAATTAACGAGGATAATTCATTTTTATATAGTCCATCACTTTGCATACAAACAGAAAAAAAATTTTTTTTTCTTAGGAGTTAAAATTGTACAAAATGTTGCTCAATATTTTGGATCGAATATTATTTGCATTTTCAACACTGTCATCCCAAATTATAAATTAGTTTAAATTTTCTCTAAAAATAAATGCAATAGTTTGTATGCAACTAAAATGAAAAACTTCATTGCAAGTAACTAAATGAAAATTGTATGATCATGAAGAATTTCATGATCACACTAACTTTCAGTACTATTACAATATGTTTATATTGTTTTGAAAGTTGATAAATTAAAATAAAACCCATAAAAAAATAATTATTTTTGTTGAAATTTTTAATATGCATAATAAAAAATACTGTCAATACATAATAAAAAATACTGTTATAAGAACCGATATGAGATAATATACAATACCTTCTCCATAAGCGATTTATTAACTTCATGTTCAAGCGAAGGACTGTGTTTCCAAAGTAGTTGTTGCTATGCAACAGCTGGCTTCTGTTCAAGCTCATTTTCAGCTCCATTGATCGCTTAAATTGAATAACCACTTTAGAGATTGTTTTTCTATCATAATATTTATAAATGAAGAATATTCTCCAACATTACTATTCAATAACAAATGCTATTCAAAAAATGTTATTTAATTCCATGAAATACAAAAAATTAAAATGTTATATTTAATATATGACATTTTAATAATTGTAATTTTTAGTTATCGTTAATCTGAAATTAATTATAAATGACATGTAAGTTAATTATAATTAATATGTTATCCCTCTACCCTTTATACATACTTTATATTTTTGTTATTTTGTTTCAAATTCTGTTGATTAAATGATTAAAAAATCATTTTTATGATGTTCCTCACACTATTGTATTAATATAATTTGCTTTGGCAACATTGTCAGAAAGTGCCAATTTCTGCTGTTTTTCGTGGATAATTTTTCTTCAATAAAATTTTGTTAATATTTTTTCTTTCATTAAAATTTTTATAATTTTTTTCTTTTCTTTTTTATTTATTTAGATCTTTTCTAGTTTTCTTCGCGAAATTATCGAATTTTAAGTGTTTAATGTACTAGCAGCTTATGAGCAGTGATTACGCCTTTTTTACAACTTTTTGAATTTCCCTTAATTTTTAATCTTAATATTAATATATACATTAATATTAACATACATGTGCATAAATATCATTATCTTCATCAGTATCATTGGCGTCACAGCCAGGGTGGGCCCTGGCTTTCAGAAAGAATTATCTTCCATCCTGACCTATTCTCAGCAATGGTACTCTAGTTTTTACAGTTTAGTACGAGAGCCGCGATGGCTCAGGGGTTAGACCGTTCGCCTTCCAGTCGATACGAATTCCGCATCCGACTTGCACCGACCACAGTGTGCTGACTTGAAATATCCTCAGGGGTAGACGGATCATGGGTTAGAGTTCCCTTGCCATCTGGCTAGCCATGGGAGGTTCTCGTGATGTTCCTCTCCATGTAATGCAAAAAGTCCTCCTCGAAGGCAAATTTCTCCCAATATTCGATCCATGAGTTCCCTTGTCTTCTGGATTGGGTTCAAAATTACAAGGATACGGAGTTGAACACTAGTAGTCGTAAACCCAAAAATTGCATCGGCTACTGAACGACCGTTAAAAAATAAATAAGTTTAGTGCGAGGAAATCCTTATCTACGGAATCATACCATCTGGGATTGGATTTTGCCCTTGGTCGATTCCCAGATGTCACCATTTGAATTTTGATATATTTAGTAATGCCATGTTCTTTATTAAAATGGTTAAGTTCGTGGTTGAAGCTCCGTTAAACTGGACACCAGCGAAAATAATTGGAACTATTTTTCTTTCGAATGCGTTTAATGCACACTTTTGAGGTCATAGTCAACGATTCCGAGGCAGCAGAGATGTACTTTTGATAATACTAAACCTAAGGACACTAGACCTCAGGAATTTACGCAGCTAAAAAAAAACTGTGCTTGGCCACAATAATTCTATTTGGAATTCTATCTCATTTTTAGCGTTAATCTCTGTATTTGAAATGAAATTGTCAACTTAATCAAATATAAACAGTGCAATTTCTAGAAAAAGAAAATTAATTTGATTCAGTTAAATTAAATCATGAAAAAAGAAAACAATTTCTAATATTTTAAAACCTGCCACTATTATTATAAATATGACTTTCTTACTAATTCATTTTTTTTTCTTTTAGGTTCCAATAATTACAAGTTTCAGCAGGTAGACGGAAACAGTATTTAAAATAATTTTGCTGGTTTGTAAAAAAAAAAAATGAAATTTTAGTTTTAAATAAAAGTAATTTGAATTTCAGCTGACTAATTATTTAAATTTATAGTTTTATAGCTTTAAAAATTCAAGCACCTAAGGCAACTATCTTCTAAAAATATGAGTTCCCTTAAGCAATTCTTACTAATTGTAGAATTTGGATAAGTGTTATTTTAAGATGATTTAATTCAATCTATTAAAATTACAGAAGAATTATGCATTTGAAACTTTCTTTTTCTCTTTTAATATTAAACCTTAGGCAATAATTGCTTCTTTTGCTAAAAAGAAGCAATTATTGCCTAAGGTTTAATGTTAAAAACTTCAGGTTCATAAATGAAGATCTCTACTAGTGAAAAAATGTAATGATATGCATTATTCTTCATATAATATCTTTATATATATATATATTATTTTTTTATATAGTGAAGTTAAAAATTAATAAATTAGGTGGTCCGTATAACACCTCACCTTCGTAAGTACTAAAGAAAACAGCTTTAGGTTGAGCTACATAAGCCTGAAGTGTAAAATATCGCATCTTTGGTTGATAAATTATTACTTCTAAAAATACAAAAATATATACTTGAGGTTACGAAATAATAACTTAAGGTAGAACATGGAACACATGACGTTAATAAAAATAACCTTTCCAAGTGTTGAAAATACACATAAAAAGGTTGATTTATAACAGCCAGAAGTGTAAAATGACGCACCACAGGTAGAAAAATATATACCTCTACAAGCATAAAATTAGATACCTGAGGTTGAAAAGTAATTACCTGAGGTAGAAAAAAATACATCTGAGGCTGATTCATAATAACCTGAAGTGTAAAACGACACACCACAGGTTGATAAATATATACCTCTACAAGCATAAAATTAGATACCTGAGGTTAAAACATATATACCTCAGGAGGTATATTTGAGGTTGATTTTGAGGTATTCATTTGCACCCTTTTCAATCTAACGACGTATTTAAATAACAATTTCCTTTATACCTTTAAAATATACCTCGTTTATACCTCGATTTTTTCATAAGGGAAAGAGGTTTCACGAATTAGTACATTTTATATCTGGGAATGAATACTTTTATAACTTCTAGTTAGTACTTTTTATAATCTCTGATTATTTTTAGATCCAACCTATAAATCATATCTTGTTTAATCTTTCGGTTTCCTTTATTTATTTATTTGAAGTAAAATACCAATTAAATAGATATAGCATTTTTTAAATGAAAATATATTTCTAAAAACAATAAGTTGAATATTGAGCAAATTAGGAAAAAAATAAGCATTTATAGAATATTACATTATTATTTCGTACAGCAACTTTTCAAATTAAAATAAAATAACTTAATTCTTTTTTAAAGAACAATGCTTTCCAAATTACCATTTTTAACGTTTATAATAATTACTTCAATTCATTTAGAAGTAAACCATAATTCGGCTTATCTTATTCATTTTCACACCAAAAATAAATTCAAAACTAGACTAGATATAGCACAAGGACTGCAAATTTAATTGTCGGGTGTAAAACCTTATTTAAGATTGATAATGATAAAACGATGAAAAATCTACATTCCTCTAATTAAATATTTTAAAAATAGTCTGTTTTTAGGTTATAATGTTCGTAATGACCTTAATAAACTCTAATCTTAATGTCGGGATTCCGCCGATAGAAGACATTTAATATATCAATGGAAGACACTAAAGCTTTATATCAATTAGTAATTAGTTTTAGAATTACAATTATAGAATAATTATTTTTACTACAGAATGAAAGGTTTTAAAAGACAAATATTTGTTAGTGTTTAATATTCAATCAAAGAAAAAACATAACCCATATTGAAATCTAACAAATAGTCCCTGATAAATTTTATGACAAAAAAAATTGAAGCCTGATTGATTTTCGGATTCCAGAAACACCTTCTAGTTTTACTATTCAATCAAATTGGTTTCGATGTCTTTCAACCCACCTGTCACACTAGTGATCAGCATATTTTGATATCATTTTTGTTTCGTTCTTACTTAATATTAATTTGTATGCGACAATTTTTTTTTACTACATTTTTGTGAGAAGTTTAATAATATAATATTGAGGGCATTAACTAAAATAATTTTTCTTGTATGCTTCTTTTACTTATATCATCCACACCCGCAAGCAACTGTCTGCTCTAAATACTGCGATAATATAAAATGAGATAGTAAAACAAAACATATGGAGTTATTTAAATTCATGTTCAAAAAGTATTAATTGTTTTTTGAATTGACAATTTCAGTCATCTTTCAGGTATTTAAAACTGTAGCATATCACATGAAAGTATTAAATATATCATTTTTAGAATATTAAAGTAAAATAACAAAAAAAAATTCTGATCCTTAGGAACAGATATTAAATAGTCTATCATAATCGAATGATGGAGCATCAGGGGCGTACGCAAGGGAGGGGTTTAG